TATGAATGTCTGGAACGTTGGCTGCCAGCCCTGCACCTGCTCCGTGGCACACCTGTGCTCGCCCAGCGCCTGAGCCAAGGATTCAGCATGGCAGAGTGAGCCCCCAAGTGTGTGCTGAGCCTTATTCCCCCACTGCCCTGGCCCTCACTTGGCCTCAAAGGCAGTGTGCTGTCCTACTGTGTTCCCCTTATGGGCCAGCCTCTCAAGAATCCTAAGTGAGATGACAAAACTTTGTCTGTTTATGTAGGCCTCACAGCCCACAGCTGGAGGCCTGGTTTACCACCTGCCCCACTTGGATAACTGGGGTAGACTGTTTTATAGGTAGAAACCCACCTCAGAGGGTCTCTGGTCCAGCATCTCTGTTGTGCAGAGAATGAAACTAGGCCCAAAGGGGAAGAGACTTTGCCCAAAGTCACACAAGGAAAAGCATGAAGGCTTGAACCTGGCGCTTCCAAATCTGGCATCCTTGGGACTCCCTAGGTTTCAGTTTCCCTAACTGTTAAATGGGGAGAATATGCCTGCCTTCTCTTCATGGGATGGGTGTGAGGGAGAAATGAGGAAACACACATGAAAGAGCCCCAAGCCCTTCAGAAGAAAGTACCGTGGGCATGCGACTGGGCCTGCACTGGCCTGGAGTAGCCCCTGTAACCTCTGGCTTCTGCCCCTCCCCCAGCCCCGGCTGAGTCAGACGTGCCTCCCATGCCCGCTGCCACTGGTCTCGGGGAACATCCTGGGCCTAGTGCCTTTCCCTTTATGGAATGGCTGGCACCTGGTACCTGGCCACATACACAACTCATACCTGTTGTACTGCTCAGCTCCCACCAGACCACTTTGATCTGGTTTGATCTGGTCTGCAGATCTTCCTCTGGATTGAAGCAAGTGCCAAACTGACCGTTGAAGACATGTTCCACTCAGTCCTTTGGCATGAAGGCTGTGTGCCCATAGGTGTGGCTCTGCATGCTGTTCTCACTCTGCTGTGGATGCTCACACACAGAATGTGCTTTGGAAACCTGAGGATTCTGGCTTCTTTCCAGTGATGGTCTTCTATGAATTTCTGTTGCAGCCAGACTCCCTCAGTCCCTGGGTCCTTAGAGTGCAGGGTCTTCAAGCTGCCCAGCAGAGCCCTCCCAGGGCAAAACTGAAACCCAATAGAGGGTGCCTCAGTTAGGAACTCACCTGCTGTTTTTCCTAATTAGCACCGTGGCTGGCTAGCAATTCAGGACAAGTATCTGCAAGCTGACTTCCCCATAGAGCCTGAATTCCACTGTGCCCTCTCCCCAGCCCCAGGGATGCCACCTAACTTCCCTGGGCCTGGTTTTGTTCCCAGGAGGCAGCGAGGCCTGTTAGGTGACACCCCTGGGTTGGTAGTAGAGGGGAACAGGGGGAAGGTGGGGTGGCTTCTTTGGAAAAGTGGACTGGGATGCAGAAGACAGCGCGGAGTGGTTTCTGCCCATATTCACAGAGCTCTCTTCCTGAGAGCTGGCCCATGACGAGCAAGAGCTCCTATTCTCTTAGGAGCAGGAGGAGGGCGCCTCTTGGGGGGTTGTCTGATGATTAGGCCCTTCCCTGGGTCTAATGGACATGGGGCTCATTCTCCTGTGCTTGGGGGCCCAGAGAGGGCCCTGCTCCTATCCGTTGTCCCTATGCTAACGAGGCCCAAGAGTGCAGAGACTTGGGACTCAGCCTGGCGCCCTTATTGGAGCCACGGTGCTTAAGTCAGAGGAATTTTCGGCAGATGCCAATAAGCTGTGGTCCAGGGGTTCCCAACCTTGGGAATACTGAGGGCCTCGTTTTTTCATGTCAGAGTCTGTAGCCCCCTCCCATGATAGCATTGGAGATTCGGAGCTGGAAAGGGGGCCTCCATCAATCTTCTGGTCTAAGGTCTGGATTTTGTTGTAAGAGTTAGAGCTAGAATAGAACTCGGGTCATTTAGTCCTACCTACTCATTCTACAGAGAAGGAAACTGAGGCCCAGAGTCACACAAGTGGTTTTTAGCAGAGCTGAGATTTGGGGTCCTCTGATCCCAATCTTGCTGCTATACCACACTTCTCTCTGGGCCTTGATTTCCCCTTCTGTAAGATGAGGAAGTTAGCTTCTGTGATCTCTAGTGTCCTTTCAGGCTCTAAGTTGTATGAGATGATTTTTTTGGTTGTTTTTGCTTTTTGGTGAGGCAGTCAGGGTTAAGTGACTTGCCCAGGGTCACACAGCTAGGAACTGTTAACTGAGGCTGGATTTGAACTCAGGTCCTCCTGACTCCAAGGCCAGAGCTCTATTCACTGCGCCACCTAGCTGCCCCATGAGATGATTTTGATTCAGATTCTGGTTCTGGGGGAGAGAGTGATGAATGAGGCATCAAACCCCAGAATTGTCACTGAACCCTGGAGAAAGACAGCCAGGGGAAACCAAGAGCCAGGCTTGACCTACAAGAAGGCCATTTGTCCTCTTCCCCAGAGTTAAATGAACCATGTCCATTGGCTTGTAGATTCAGAGCTAGAAGGGCCCTCTGAGGTCATCTAGTTGACCTCCATCATTTTACAGAGCAGGAAACTGAGGCCCAAAGAGGTGAATTTTCTTGACTGGTTCAGGGATGTGGTCAGAGTGTGCCCAAGTCCAGTGGGAAGGGTAGGACAAACACGTTGATGTCACCTTGCCCCACGTGTGTTTTTTTTGGGGGGTGAGTATGGTTTTTACTTAAGTGCATGTCCACAGCTTGACTGAACCGGCCTCCTGCAATTTAGCTGGGAGTCCATCTGGTGGGACAGGCTAACCAGGATTTCATAAGCAGATGAGTTCCCTCCACCACCTCAGTGGGCAGTGGGAGGCAGGACTCTCTGGCCAGGTTATGTTCCCGGGATTTATTCTGAGGGTGGCAATGTGGTTCCTGCCCATGACCACCTGGGAAGGTGGTAGCTCTGGGCCTTTGCCTCTGCCAGGTATGCTGGGAGAGGTCAGGGGGTAGGACTTGGAGAGGAGCAGTGAGCATTTCACTTGGCCTGGCCGACTTCTTGTTCTCACTGAGGAGCTCAGTCTGTGCTCCCAGCTACTTGTAGAGGGAGAACGCCGGATACCCTTCCCTCCCAGGCCTTATCCCAGTGCCCGAAGCCACAGCGTGCTGGTTCAAGGCTACAGAGCTCATTCTATTTTGGTTTCTGAACATGGCAGGACTCCTTTTCCTTTTCTTTCTCTGAAAAGCAAAATAAACAATGTTTTCCCCCCTCAATCTATGCCTCTTGACATGGAGCTGACCCATGAGTCTTTGAGAAAATTCTGTAAACTAGAAAGGGATATGGAAAGCTTTTCCTCAGACTGATTTCTCTTCCTCTTTTAAATAGCAGTTTAAAACAAGTGGGGGACTGGAGGGGGGAAGAATTTGCCACATCCTCCTGACCCAGTTGCTCAAGCCTGGAGAGCACTCTGTGGGCATTGTCCGCTGAAGAGCCAAGGGGTCGCTGCTCAGGCAGGCCCAGGTGAGGGAGAGAGGAAACCAGGAATGGTCATTGGTGGGAAGTAGTGCTGCTCTGAGCCAGGGCTTGGCCCTGGCACTGCCTCCCCAGCCTGGCCCAGCCCTACTCTGTGGATGCGTGAACTAGGGGACGGAGTGCCATCGGGTCAGGGAGGCCAGACACCTGGGGCAGAATTTGACAGTGACCATCCTGCCCTCGGGACTCTCCTCAGTACAGAATGGAGTCTATTTCAAAGCTGCCCCCAAGCTGGGACTAATGCCCTGGAATATGTCCTCTGCAATGGGCTGCCATTTTGCCTTAGGCTGTGGTCATGTTCGGGGTCAGGCTGACATGGAGAGACACCTCTACACAGTTGCCAAGCTCTCCAAATCTCGTCCCTTTTTTTTGATCATTGGCCACGGTGCCGGGAAGCTGGGTTCCATCAGTAACTGGGGTTTGTTTCCAGGCTTGCTGTGTTTGGGTTGTGCCTTTCAAATGTGGGCTGTCTGGCACAGCTCCTGCACTCCTCTGCCCTTGGTTTCCACTTCCAGCTTTTTCTGGGAGTGATGTGAGTCACCCACTGAAGGTGGGATTGTGGGAATTGTTAGTCACGTGCTTTGTGTAAGTCTCACTACATACAGGAGCTAGCAAGTGCGTGCGCATACACACACACACACACACACACACACACACACACACACAACACACACGCAGCTTCAATGCTCTCACAGGACCAAGAGAGAGGAAGGCCAGGTCTTCAGGATGTGGCCCAGTCAGGTGGGGAGTTGGAATGGCGGAGGGCAGGGGTGGAGGAGGGGACCCTTAGTGGCGAAGACAAATCACTCCTCCTCTTCCTACAGGGTAGCATGGCTTTATGGGGACTGGGGATGTTTTTGACTCCTCTTGTCTTCTCTAACACCTAGCATTGAGTCCAGGTCTAAGCTGAATAACCTCGGATAAGCACCTTCTCTCCCCTCCCTGGGTCTCAGTTTTCCTCATCTGCCAAATGACAGAGAATAAGCCTTGCCCTATTGACTTCCCAAGCTACCAAGATCCAGGAAGAGCTCCCCCCTTGAAGTGTAAGGTGGTGACATTGGGGGCCAGCTAGGTGCTCAGTGGAGCCTGGCTGACCAGTTTGGTTGAGGAGGGAAGATGCTACCCAACATCATTTCTGCTGACTGGAGGCCTTAATGAGCTGCTTATGGGGTGCCCTGGTTGTGCCCCCAGGCATCATTGGAGGGGACTGCTGAACACACTGGTGCCAGAGATACCTTTGCGTACTGCCCATCCCTGCCCACCCCTAAGAGGCCCAGGCATAGTAAGCAGGCTCCTTCAGTCCCACACCTTGGGGCAGACGCAAGTGCTCAGACACGGCTGTTGGACCCTGAGGTTCCTTTCTGCTCCAGTGGAGGCAATCCGTAACTCATTAAAAGTCTGGAGTGTGGGAGGAAGTGGGAGTCAGATGCCCAGAGACCTGGTTTGGGTGACTGCTGGCCGGCTGCTGGCAGTAAAAGAGAACGGGTTCTTTTTTTCCTCCTTCCCTTTTGAATTTTTCAGAGTGGCCAGTAGTCAGACAGCCTGCAGGATCAGCTCGGCCTCCGCCAGCAGCAACACAGGGCCTTTGAGGAAGAGAGAGAGTGAGGGGCAGACAGACCAGGCTGTTGGGCCGAGTTTGAGCAAGAAGCCTCTTCCTTCTCCAAGGTTTCCCAAAGGAGAGCAGAAATAGGTAAGAACAGCTTCCATTTGCTTTGGGGGTGGTGTGGCAGAGAGGGAAAAGCTGCAGCATTCTTTTGGGGGGGAGGGAGAAACAGGTATTTCCAGCTCTCATTTGGGTTTTACTCAGAGGGGTCTGTCTGCATGTTAAAGTGGTCAGGACTTATGAAAAGTCCAACCTATGGGGCAGCTAGGTGGCGCAGTGGATAGAGCAGTGGCCCTGGATTCAGGAGGACCTGAGTTCAAATCCAGCCTCAGACACATAACACTTACTAGCTGTGTGACCCTGGGCAAGTCATTTAACCCCATTGCCTAGCCAAAAAACCAAACCAAAACAAAACAAAAAAAAGCCCAACCTAATCATTAGACAGGACAGGATGGGGTAAAGTGGGTGGGAACAGGGCCTGCCACCTTGGAGGAAGAAGTGGCAGAGGCCAGGAGGAGGAATGACAAAGTTCCTATGAAGGGCACCTGTAGGCTCAAGGGAGAACAGGGCTAGTGACTTGAAGGTGGCTGGGGGAGTAGGGGGGGCAGGGCAGCCAGCCTTCAACCTTTGTCCTCCCCCTTCCCCTTCTGCCTACATTTCCATGATGACCCAAAGGTAAGGGGCTCGTGTTTGCAAAGTGGGGGTGTGGTGGGATGAAAGGCAGTGGTTAGAGATAAGAGACTAGGGGCCCAAATACCTGGGTCCCCACCTGGAACATGACCCCTAGTGCCTTGATTTTTGACCCTTGTCCACATGAGTGTGAAAAGTCCTGGACTATCTAAGGAGAATTAGTAAGGAGGGGAACTAGCAGAGTGAGCTCCACTGGACCAGGCCTGTCCCCCTCTTCTGATAGGGAGCAGGGATGACCCTATGTTACAGTGGGTCAAGGGTTCAGATGTCGGGCCTCCATGCCTCCCATCACTGCGGTGCCAGGGCTAGAGCTAACTCTTGAGACCGTTGCCTTAGCTTCTTGGCAGACACCTAACATGTGTACAAGGTACCTGGGGGGGCCCTGAAATCACTTCTGCCTCCAGCCCTCAAACAAACTTACAAACAAATCTCTACATTATAGCTATGGTCAGATCACTGCTGAAGGTAACCTGAGGGCCCTCTGCCGATACTGTAATGTAGAATTTATTAAAAACAATCCCCCCCCAAACATATTATGTTCCCTAACGTAGCTATGAAAAAGCTGTTTATCAAGGTATTGAGGTGTTTTTTTCTGAACCCTCCCCTCCCCTTTCCTCTCCTCTCCTCTCCTCCCTTTTCCCTTCCCCTCTTTTCTCCTCCCCTCTTCTTCCCTCCCCTCCCCTCTCCCCTTTCCTCTCCTCTCATCTCCTCCCTTTTCCCTTCCCCTCTTTTCTTCTCCCCTCCCCTCTCCCCCTCCCCTCTCCTTTCTTCTCCTCTCTCTGCCCCTCCCCTCCCCTCCCCTCTCTGGGTTGCAGCTTCCATGGGTGAATTGCTTTGTGCACCCCTGTTCTTGGTAACTCATTCCCAAAGGTCAGGCTGGCATTGGCATCTCTATTAAGAGGCAGAGAACCAATCCCTGGGTGCCCAGGATCGCCCAGCTAGGGACTGGCAATGCCACCCCAAGCCCCCAGGGTACCAGCTGCCCAGCACTCTGCTTCAGACTTGGCTGTTTCTCCTTCGCAGGTCAAGGGCAGCCCAAGCAGCCACTTTCACTCTCCGCCCACAAGGCCCCAGCTTTGGAGATGAGAAATTCCGAAGACCCCCCAGCCACCCCAACTGTGCTACAGCGCCTGCTCCAGGAGCAGCTGCGCTATGGGAACCCCAATGATAATCGCAACCTCCTGGCCTTGCACCAGCAAGCCACAGGGAATGTGCCACCCTTCCCTGGTGGTGGGGGCGGGAGCCCTGGATCTCAGGGGGAAGGGCTGAACCCCCAAGATCACCAGCACCCACATCAGCATCAGCACCCACACCAGCACCCTCACGTGCACCAGCACCCACATGTGCACCAGCACCCACAGCAGCTCGGGGCCCATGCTGCCCGCCAGGAGCCCCAGGGCCAGGAGATCCAGGTGGACAACAACATCATGGAGAAGCAGCTGCCCTCCCGTAGGCAGAACAGCGAAGATCTGCCCACCTATGAGGAAGCCAAGGTCCAGTCCCAGTACTTCCGAGGCCAGCAGCATGCCAGTGTCGGGGCTGCCTTCTACGTCACTGGGGTCACTAACCAGAAGATGAGAACGGAGGGACGGCCAGCGGTACAGCGGCTCAACACTGGGAAGGTCCACCAGGATGAGGGGCTCCGGGATCTCAAGCAAGGCCACGTCCGCTCCCTAAGTGAGCGCTTGATGCAGCTGTCGCTGGCCACCAGTGGGGTCAAAGCTCATGCCCCCGTGACGAGCTCTCCACACTCCCCACCACAGCCTGGCGACCTCTACAAAAACCCCGCTGGTTCCAGTGACTATTATAAGAACCCAGGACCAGCACCAACCCAGCCCAGCCTGAAGGTCATGGAGCATCGGGGCCCCCCTCCTGACTATCCCTTCAAGGGCATGCCCAACCCAGCTTTGGTCTGCAAGCCCCAGGAAGCCGGGCACTTCTTCAGTGAACATCGTCTGAGCCAGCCTGGGAGAATGGAGGGGCCCGTGATGAGGTACCAGCATCCCCCTGAGTATGGAGCAAGCAGGTGAGCAGTGTCTCTGCCCTGCACAGCTCTGCCTGTCCATACTGTCTCCTGGGGCTCTCCTTTAGCTTGGGGGCGCTTTCACAGATGGGATGGGGAAGAAACTCAGTGAGTGGGGGGGGGGATGGCTCAGTAAAGCAGCTCTCTTCTTGTCTCATCCCCCAACCGTTATTTATTAAATGCCTGCTACATAAGTCACTCTGAAGCTCCAGTGCTGAACTGTGGATGTGGATCTCTGCAGTTTCTTAGTGAGGGGTACTGTGGACCTCAAGGAATGTTCTCTTCCATCTTGTAAAATGCTGAGGACACACTAGTTCCATCCTGCTGCTCACCCCAGTTTGGCTGTCTCTCTGCCTTTGGCTAGGGAAGGTGGCTGAAAATCTTGGCCGCTCTAGAGTGGGCCTGCTGGCTTCACCAAGCTCCATTGAGAGGAGAGAGGCCAGTCAGCCTTGGAGTTAGGAAGACCTGCTGCAAGTCTGGCTCATGACACACATCGGTCTTTCATTGCTTCCCCTCCCTGCAATGAGAGAAAACGCAGCTGTAGGTCTGAAGGCTCAGGACCCAAACAACCTAGAATTATTGGGGTATTCCTCTTGGTAGTACAGTAGAGAGAGCAGTGGAGTCATCAGAGGAACCTGGGCTCTGTTCCTGCTTATTAGCTCCACAACCTTACCCTCTCTGGAGCTAAGGACCTTCTGCTCTAAAATCAAGGCAATGGCTTAGGAGCCATTCTCTAAGGGCCCTTATAGACCAAATCCCATGGGCATTGAGCTCTGCTACTTGTCCCACCTTTCTCCTCTTACTGGATTGGCCAGCAAGCAAAGAGCCTTTTGTCCTGAAGTCCCCGAGGGGGTCTCTGGAGAAGAGGCCCCTTTAGGGAAAGACTAGGGTGAAGGTAAAGCATGAGCCCTGGGATTTCCTTAACCCCCACTAGCCTCTTCTGCAGGATTTTCAAAAGTCAAATCCTTCTTGAGCCACTGTCTTGGTAAGGGTCTTGGAGCAGGAAATGGGTCACTGGACAGTGCCAATCTGGGTCCTCCCCCGCTGTGCCTGATGAAGCAGGAAGAGGTGGGAGCGGTGGCTAGGCTGGCTTCATTGATGAACAAGCCCCTCAGACCAGGGTGGCATCTGTGTAGCTCAGGGAATTCTGGGGGGCTGGGGGTGTCAAGGAATTTTCTGGTGTTGGTTTAGGAGAGAATCTCAGTGTCTTGGGCTGGGGTGGGGGTGGGGAGGGAGGGCAGAATCTCAAGCCAGCGTCTAAGTAGCCCACCCACCTTCTCAGGAAAGCTATTTTCAGAACTCATTCCCCAGTATTGTTTGTGATCTGAACCGACTCCCACAGCATTTAAAACTTGAATCTGGATGGGGGAAAAGCCCTTTGATCTGCCTAAATAAATAATAAAGAGCCCAGAGAGGGAAATTTCCCCCCCTCCCTTCCATTACTGATTAAACCACTGGGAAAATTTAGTTGCAGAAATTCCACGAGAATAACTTTGCCTTGTCTCTTCCCCCCTCAGCTATCTGCTGATTTCTCCATCCCGGAAAAAGCCAATCCGGGAAAATCGGCCTCTTAGCAAGATTTCTTTCCGTGGGTATGCCTCGTGTGGCCCTGTGTGCTGCTGGCTGGGGGCTCTGTTTCTGTCACTTGGGGCTGTGAAGTGATGAGAGCTAGGCCCCTTTTGGGGTGGAGAATGTTTTGGCTTTGTTCTAAGTGGACTCTGACTGTGTGGGGGAAGAGGTGCTCCTTCGAAGGGTCTAGGAAAGCAGGCAGGGCGTGGTGGTTGAACAGGGCTGCCGGACCAGCTCCGGCCAAACCCCGCTTATGGAGGCCAGGCTGGGCTGCCTCTGCCTTGTGGGGACCTCTGTTTGCTGTAGCCCAGTTGGCTTTGCAAGGAAGCCCAACAATTAAAAGTGGAAATTTGGGCCTTAATCCGCAAATGACAGAGCTGGGCATAGAGAGGACCCCTTGAGTAAATTGCTGCTAAATCCTTCTCTGCTAGGGAGGCTCCGAGAACGTCTGGAGATTAGCTGGGGAGCCCAAGAGAAAAAAAGAATCCTTTTATTTCCCTCCTCCTCCCCTCCTTCCCACCCCCCCCCCCGCAAAAAAAAAAAAAGAAAGAAAAGAAAAAAGAAAAGAAAGAAGAAGAATCGGTATGGGAGAACTTTTGGAGTCGGCAAAAGCGTCCGTGGCCATTTAGCCAAAGCCCTGCCGCAGAGTCCCCCTATGAGGCAGAAGGCGGCAAAAGAAAGGCCGCGCACCGGAGCCTGGCTCAGGACAGAGCCCTCCAGATGGGAGTCCAGGCTCCAAACCTTTGTCCGCCTTGATGCCTGAGCTCTTTCTGAACACTAGGGTTATACATTGATTGAATGCTTTGTTAAGCAAAGAAAAGAAGAAAACCTTTTGGGAAAAAAAAAGATTATTTTTGTTTATAAAGAAAGCAGCCATCTCCTTTCAATTGTTGAACTCTTGCCCAGGTCTGAGGTTTCTTTCAATCATTGTTAAGTGGAATTTAAGAGCGACCTTAGAGAACAGCTTGTACAAGAGAAGGCAGCCTTCAGGAATGCCCGGCCCTGTCTGATTCACCACTGGAGAGGCTGGGAAAGAAAGGACCGCAGTTCCTGTGGCGAGGTTCAGTTGGGTTCCAGGCTGTTGGCTTCACCTGTGCACTGGTGCCAGTGTGTGCCTGCCGGGACCAACATAGATGTGAGTGTGTGTGAGAGTGTCTGAGGAAGAGCAGGCAGGGTACCTGGATGGAGCGATCCAGTGTCTGACTGCTTGGGGACTGGGGGGCCTCTGAGGATCATGTGATGCTATTGTCTGTGCCTGCTTGGTTAATGTTGCAGTGTGGGGAGCTATTCAACCCTGTTGGCTTCAATGAGGTGCTTAGGGATCTTACCCAGGTGGGCTGCCTGAGGGGGGAGGGGGAGAGAGGTTTTCAGGTCTCCCTCTTGCCACAAAGCTGTGTTAATGCCGTTCAGCTTTTCTTATCTGGGTGGCTGCTGGGATCCAGATGGAATTTGGCAAGGAAGTCCGTTCCTTTTCACAATAGTCAGTAAATGGAGATCTGTGTTATAGTACTCTTCCTTTCTGTTTACAGCCTGGAGAAACTGAGGCGCAGCTGCTTCTTCTCAGTTTGCCCCTGGGGAGAGACCAGACTCCTCAGCTGGATCGTCCAGACTGTGTGGTCTGGCCGGGGGTGGGGGTGGGGGGCTGGGGATGGTGGTTGGGGGGGGGGAGGCAAAGGCTCCAGAAACCTAGAAGAGGTTAGATGGTGAATGTTGCCTGATTGGGCCCAGGAGAGCCAGAGAGAAGCCTGGTTCTGCTCTTGGGCTACAGGCCTGAAAGAGAATATCCCCTTAGGACCCAAGCCCCCCCAACTGCTGCAGCTTGCCTTGAACTTGAGAGGAGCTCAGCTCCCAAGGCCGGTATGTTATAGCCTTCAAAGCAGGCCAGCAGCATGAACCCCACACAGAGTAGAGGTGGCCCTTGAGTGGCTGAGCCTGACAATGAGACCAGAGATGCCATCTGTTTCCTTGGGCAAGTGTGAGTTTCTGTGGAGTGTACCGAGTGCGCCTAGGCTCCCTCCCCTCCCCTTCCAGCAGCCACATTATTAGGACTCCACACTAAGCTTCCTGAAGGCAGGGGCTGTGTCTGATCTCTCCCCCCCCCTCCCCCACCCCAAGTTGGCAGGGCCTAGCAGAGCAAGTGGGGTCACTGAGGCACTAATTGAATTTGTTCTGGGATCTTTTGTCTCCATACAGAAATCCACATAGCCACCCTTCTGAATTTACAAGGCAGTTTGTTTTCCCTAATGCTTCCATTCACAGGCATTCTCTCCTGTAGTCCTTAAAGGGGGTCTGGGAGGTAGGTGAAGCTGATATCAATCTGAATACACAGTGGCTAAACGACCTGCCCCAATCCCAGGTCAGTTGGGAGAGGCGGCTGGGGAGGAGAGCCCCACCTGCATAAGGCTGTTCTTCTGTTTACTTTCTATTTGTTGGGCCTTTTGTTTTCTAAAATAGATAGAGTGAGATTTCACTGCCAGCATCCGGAGAAACTCCCAAGCACTGCTAGTAGGGGGAGGAGCCCAGGAGAAAAAGATGGTAGAATTCTCAAGAGGAAATTAGGCGAGCCACCCACTACCACCCCCCTGGTGAAGGGGGTCAGTGCTTGGAGTTTGTAGGAAGGAAGGGTCCACTTGGCCCTCCACAGTACAGTAGAACTGGGACTCTTTGTCATCAGTATCCAATGGAGTGACGAGCAGGTTAGGCACTGAGCACTTCTTAAAAAAGCATGTCTGGAGTTAGGAGGCTGCTGAGAGCGTTGGGTTCTGGGGGAACCTTGTTCTTTGACTGTCTGGATGATTGGATGCCCCTGTTGAAGAAATGGGCCTGGAGTTCTTTGGGAAGCATCTATCTGTGCTCCCCTTGTTTGCCCTTGGCTACATTGGAGAGGTCTGTTTCTTTCACTCTCACTAGGGTGTGTCCCAGGCTACCCACTGGCCTCACTTGGCAAGTTAGACCTGCTCCCCACACTTCTGCAATGCGTCTAGCTAGAAGGGCCTCCCTCTTATCGGTTCTGTTTTTACTATGTGTTTGTGCTCTGCTTCTTAGGAGCCAGGGAAAAGAATTGGAGGGGTGTGCTCCTAGACTACTCCCGAACCCTAGGTCTGGGGAGAAGGAAGATGAGCCACCATCAGGGCCCCTCCTGATGAATCCCATGGACACCAAGTATCTGTGAGTTGGAGTGGGTGCCTAGGCCTCCAAATGCAGTCATTCAGGTCTCGTGGTGAATGACTTTCCTAGGAAATAATACTTTTTGGACACTGGCAGCAGTACGTTTAATCTGCCCTAGGGCGACAAGGGCTAGGCTCTGTGCTAGGCACTGGGCATACCAAAGGGAAATGCACAACCGTCCTGCCCTCAAGGACCTTCTGTTCTTCTAGTCATGTGGCCCCACCCCCTACATGAAAGAAAAGACAGTGGTTCTATCACTAGAACTCACCCTGTATGGCAGCATAGCTCAGAATTCTCAGCGATACACAGGGCCATCGGGTCAGCTGCCAGTGACGATATGGAGCAAAGGGCCTTGGGGTTGGCAGTCAGGCTAGTCCCAGCCCTGCCACCAACTCACCATGGAACCCTTGGCCTGAGTCACTTGTCTCTGGACCTCGGTTTCCCCTTTTGTAAAGTGAGGCCTTGGTCTAGCTGATGTGGACGTGCCCCTCCTGCCCTGCGGTTCTCTGACTATATCTGAAACATGGTGCCGGCCTTTGGGACAGCACGGGGCAGTAGCTGCTCAGTGCTCTTGGTATGTTGGCATCTCTTTTGGAGTAGCCTTCAGATTCTGGCCTTGGGGGACTACTGGGGACAGTGTAGGAGACCCTTAATAAGTGTTTGGCAAGCCAATGAGTGAACATGGGCCACACCTTCTAACGTGATGTCCATCTGCAGCGTTAGGCAACACTTAGGTTCAGATCCTTGGATTGAGAACAATGGTGAGAAGGGTGAGCAATATAGAAGATTCTTCAGAGACTCAAGCAGATGGCAGGGCTGAGTCACTCCTCAGTCAGAACCGAGGCCCAGTGATGGGGAAGACCAGGGCATAGCCCCTTTGATGAAAATCCATCCCCACTGCTCACAGAAGTGACCCAAGCATGTGCCAGGACATTAGCCTTTTCCAGACCGTGGGCCTGAGCTAGGGGCAGCAGTGACCATGGGGGAAATGGAGAGATGCTATGAAATAGCTGAAAGAGACCTGAACTTGGAACCTAGAAAAATCTGCTCCTGACACTATTAACTCTCCCCACGGAGCCCCTCTGAGCTTTGGTTTCCTCATCTGTAAAATGTGGATGCAGCTGCTGATGTTTGTGCTACTTCCTTCCCGGAGGGCTTATGGGAGAAGGCTCTTCTAGATTCATTTGTCCTGGGACGGTGGGTTTGATACTAATTCCAACTCTAAGTCTAATCCCAAGCACTGTCCTCCATGTCTGGAGCACACAGACAAAGGACTTGATGTTTAAAGTGCATGGATTGCCTGGTTGGATTGTGACCCTTCCCTGCCCCCCCAATACTGCTCCCTGCTCCTCTCCCTGACCTCTTTGCTGCAGAACTTACCTGATGTGTTCTTCATGCTTTTCAGGCCAGCCCAGGACATCTCACTGCAGCCAAGGACCCCTCACCAGCATAGCCCCACATCCTCTGTGACATCACTGGGGTCCTTGAACCTGCTGCAGTCTCCACCAGCAACCAGGCCATCACCTGCCCAGCAGCACCCCCTGAGCCTAAACCAAGGAGAGCCCAACCACTCTCTCCTGCCTAGGCCTCAGCAGCCAGGAGAAGCCTACTCAGCCATGCCTCGGACTCAGCAGCTACCCTCCCCTTACCAGCCCATGCTATCGGACCCCTATGCCATTGTCTTCAGAGCCCAGCAGATGGTGGAGGTTCTCTCTGAGGAAAACCAGTCCCTACGGCAGGAGCTAGACACTTACTATGAGAAAATTACAAAGCTGCAGAAGGTAAAGAGTTCCAATGGGGAAGAGCATTCTAGGTATGAGGCACAGCTTAAGCAAAGCCTTGGAGGTGGGAAATGAAATATCATTCCTTAGATGTTTTCGCAAGACCTTTTTCCTGCAGCCCCAGTTCCAATATGATTTTTTTTAAAAGCTGGGAGAATCTATTTCCTGCTGCAACCACTCCTCCCCAACTTAGCGACATGATGTATGTGGGGGGGTGGGAATGGAGGGGCAGGAGCCTTAGTTTCTCCAAAGCTATGTGACTGATGACAGCTTGGGGCCAGTAGCCTCTTTGTATCTGAGGCCCACTGCTCTTAAACACTCCTACCAGTCAGGCCCCCTGACTCTTGACTTCTCAGGGAGGCCAGTGAATGGAACCATGCCTTTGCCAACTTGTAGCCCTCTCTGTTCTGTGGCTCACTGTCCCTACCTCCATGTGAGCACTTTGGGAGAGGAGAGCCTCATGTGTGTGTTATGGGTAGGGAGGCTCCAGGGTGCTGTTCTCTGCCAATGTCCTTAGGAGACTCTCAAGGGGAGAAGTTGCAAGGGTCTGGTTGTTTAACACTGTATCAGGCTCCTAAAAACGGACCACCTGGGGAGAGAGAGATGGGAGCCAGTCACGTTAACGAGGTTGCCATCCATGGCCTCTCCCATTATGCCCACAGTGTCTAGTTTAGCCTCCTGAGTTAGCTAAGCTGGTTAATGGTTGACATCTTTCTTGAGCTGCCAAGACGCCTTGACTCCAGGAGGAAGTTAGTACCCTGAGAGGGGTTGGTAAAGAGAGAATGTGCTAGGGAGTGGTTGCCTCACATTTGGCGATGGGGTACCAGGGAGCTACCAAAGCAGGGGCCCATGTTCCCCCACTCCTTCACCCCGGAGTCCTTCCATGTTCTCAATCTCTTTTCCAGAAGTATGGTCAAGCTCTCCATGGGGAGGGTAGAAGGAACGCAAGGGGGAGGAATCAAAGTGTGGCCCAGCTGAAGGGCCATGGAGGGTCTGGTGGGCATAGATATGCTTCTGTGACCATCATGGGGCCATAGATAGAGCTGAGGGGAGCCTTTGAGACCATCTGATCTAGTCCCTTCATCACACAAAGAGGGAGCCCAGAGGAAGGGCATGACATGTTTAAGGGCACATAGGTAGAGAATAGCAGAGTTAGTTGCAGACCCAGGTCCTGTAACTTCAAGGGCTGGTAAGGTAGGGAGAACAAAGGTTAAGGGAGAAATGCTTGTGTGGGACCCATGCACTGCCCAGTTTGTTGGGTGGGTCCCTGGCCAGCAGCCTGCATGGCTACCTAGCTGCCCCACTGGCTGCCCCATAAGACTTCTAATGCTTTTGGAATGTCTGGCCTCAGATCCCCAGTGAGGGTTGGGCCAAGGGGCTAAGCCCTTCCCCATTCCCTAGCCCCAGTCTTCTTTCATACAGCCATGACAGTCCTGTATGTATGGTGGAGACCTCCAGGATCCCTGATTCTATCAAATCTTGATTCTTGATAAGGAAAATGGTTGTGAACTGGGCCAAATTTGATAAGGGACAGAGGACCTGACTGGAGGGGGCTAGGTCAGGGCTGTCTTCCTTGGTTTCATCTGGACTCTGGATGTCCCCAGGTAAGACGCAGACTTGTTTTCTAAGCTTCCATCTCATTTTCTGAGGGTTGAAAGAATATCCCAACCTAGGGGCTGGTGCTCAAGGCGAGGCTCTTTGATCCCAACTCTGGGATATTGTGGGACCTTAGGTAGATTATTCGGTCTTTCTGTGGTAAAATGGAACAAGTCATTTGTGCTCCCCTCCCCTTATGGCAGGGATCTTGTAAGTAGGATGACATGATGCTTGTGCAGGTCACTGAGAGCTCACCACCTTCCTTAGGGTGGACCAGTGGTTGGCACATAGTAGACACTTGACAAAGGCCTGTTAACTTGGTGACCAGACAGCCTTCAAGACCCCTTTCAACTCTGAGATTCTCTATGTAGGACAAATTAGGGCCATTTTGTTTTTTCAGCTGGGCCAAACCAAGGTCTTGGTAAACTCCTAATTTACCTTGACCCTGAACCCTCTGGAATGGCGAGCTCTCCTGGTGGGCACATTAGCACTTACTCTTTTTTTTTTAAAATAATATTTCTCCCCAATTACATGTAAAAACAATTTTTAGCATTTTTTTTTTTACGTTTTGAGTTCCAAATTCTGCTTCCCTCTCTCCCCTCTCCCCTCCCTGAAATAGTAAGCAATCTGATATAGGTTGTACATAGGCAATCATGTAAAACATATTTCATATTAGTCATTTTATGGAAGAAAACTTGAACCCAAAAAAAATGAAAGAAGGAAAGAAAGCTTAAAAAAAAAGTGTGCTTCGATCTGCATTCAGACTCCGTAGTTCTTTCTCTGGACGTGCATTTTCCTTCCTGAGTGATTGCCTTGGATCATTGTATGCTAAGAATAGCAAAGTCATTCACAGTTGATCATCACACAATGTTGCTATTGCCGTGTACAACGTTCTCCTGGTTCTCCTCACTTCATTCAGCATCAGATCGTATAAGTCTTTCCAGGTTTTTCTGAAGTCAGCCTGTTCATCATTTCTTATAGCACAATAGTATTCCATTACATTCATATACCACAACTTGTTCAGCCATTCCCCAATGGACGGGCATCCCCTCCATTTCCAATTCTTGTCCACCACACAAAGAGCCCACACATGTGGGGCCTTTTCCCTTTTCTTTGATCTCTTTCGGGTACAGCCCTAGTAGTGCTATTGTTAGCACTCACTCTTGCTCCCTGAATGTCTGTATCAAGCTGGAGGCTGACCCATTCTTCTCCCTCCCATGCCCTAAAACATTATTGCTAAGTCTCTATTCTGTTTTGGTCCCCTTTTTAGCTGGAGACAGAAATCCAGCGTGTCTCGGAGGCCTATGAAAACCTAGTGAAGACCTCTTCCAAGAGAGAGACCCTGGAGAAGGCCATGAGAAACAAACTTGAGGGGGAGATCCGCAGACTCCATGACTTTAATCGAGACCTTCGAGGTGAGGTTCCCTGCCTGCTGGCGCAGCACTTGGTCATCAGAGCCTGGGGAATTTGGGGAAAGAGCTGAAGAATGGGACATGGACAGTTGAAATATGGGCCATCTGGCAGTGGTAGTCAGTTCCAGGGCATGAAAGTCTGGGGGTGAGATTCGAGAAATTAGTTAGATTCATGCTTGATAGATAGAGGACTTCGGAATCATCAAGTCATGCCCCCCCCCATTTTACAGGGGCAGAAGGCCAGAGACTTACCCAAGGTCACACAAGTGGGATTGGAATCTGGGGTTCATGACTCCAAATGCACAATTCTTTCTTCTGCATCTCCTTTTCTTTCCAGCTGGGAAGAACCTGCCGAAATAGCCAGTCCTGAGTAAAGGGAGCTCAGAAATGACCTGGAAGAGCATACTCTGCTCCCAGGGTGGCCCCAGTGAGAACGAGAGAACAGTTCCTGCTTGGGGCCCCTGCTCCCTCCCTCTCGTCTGCCCAGTGGAGTGTGTGCACGCATGTGCACATGTGTGGATGCATGTGTACACACGTGTGTGCGGGTGTGTGGGATGTGTGTGTGAGAGAGACAAAGACAGGGAGAGGGGAGAGACAGACAGACACTGACACAATGGGGAGGGGCAGCCTGTCCCAGCTCTACGGCCCTCCTAAGGAGCACAGGCGGCTCTCCCCTTGGACAGCCTCTGGTTCCTGATGGTCTTTTTTGTCTCTTCAGTGAAAGAATGGGGGATTTTCTGGGGAGGGCCCTGTGTGGAGGTGACATAAGTTGGCATGCCTCTAGACAGCCACTCTCCCTGGCCTGCCCCAATCAGGGCTCACAGGAGGGGCTTAGCCCCAGGTAGCTCTAGTAGACCCTCTCTGCTTTCGCCTCTAACTTACAAGCCCAGGCCTCCTTAGAATCCTATCTTCTTGAAAACAGAGTACCTTAGGCGAGTCACCTGAGGGTGGATGGAGGACCCTGGGATTATTTGAGCCTGAAAAGAGCAAATGTAGGAAAGCCACAGCAGCTGTCCTCCAGGTTTGAAGGACTGCTCCAGAGGCGGGACAGAGGCCACTTCCTTGTGAGCCACACAAGCTGAGTACCCACTGGGCAGCTCAGCCTCCAAGGCCATAGGCTAGAAGGGACCATACAGGTCCTCCAGCCAAGCGGCCTCATTCAACCAAGGTCCAGGGAGCTCACCTGATCTCACACAGCCCCTGAAATTCAGTACTTCTGTCCCTGGTTCCCTCTCCAGCTTGTTTCCTTCTCTGTAAACTGGGGAGAGGCAGAATTGGGCCTCATGATCTCTAAGCCTTTTTCATAGACTCACAGGGTCAGAGCTGGAAGGGAGCTCAGAGGCCACCAAGGGGAGGAAACTGAGGCTGAAAAAGGCAAAGTACTTTGCCCAGGGTCACTGTTAATAAGTCAACATTTATTAAGTGCCCACTATGTGCCAGGCACTGTGCTAAGTGCCTTTATAGTGAGTGGCAAAGTTGGCATTAGAACCTGGTTCTTCTAACTGCCTTCCATGGTTCTCATCTGCTTTAATCACAGGGAGGCACAACTTTGTCAGGGATCTTAGAAGGCATCTAGGCCCAACCAGGGCTTCAATGCCCCTAATGAGGGGCCGTCCATCCCTCTAAAGCTGTCCTCATAGGTGAACCCACTCAGGGCTCATCCCCAGGCAGCCCAGATTACGTTGGACTGTTCTCATTGGCAGCAAGTTTTTCCTTCCATGGAGACTGAATTTGGCTCCCCACACCTTTCCCCTGCTGTTGCTCGTCCTGCCCCCTGGGGCCAAGCTGAGCAAGCTGCTGCCAGTTCCAACATTCCAAAGGCTCTGGGCTGTCCTGGGGATGAGCCTCTTGAGGCCCGTCCTCTTGGGTCATGGTGCTTGATTGTTTTCACAACATGGAGGCGGCATCATGTGGTCTTCCCCTCTTTCTCCCTGGTGAGCCAACTTCCTTTGGGGGCTCAGGTTTGGGGTCATATATTTCTAGTCCCCCATTCTTGGGTTTGGCAAGAAGGAGCAAGCTAATGTCTGTCAGGGTCTGTGTCTAAGGGGCGAGAAGCCTATGTGGTCAGAAGCCAGTGTGCTGGTCCCTGCTGAGTGACCCTCTCCAATCCCACAGAGCGAATGGAGACAGCCAACAAGCAGCTTGCTGAGAAGGAGCAGGAGGGCTCAGAGGACACCCGGAAGACCATCTCCCAGCTCTTCGCACAAAGTGAGTGGGTGAGCCGGGGACTCAGGCTCCAAGGCGGCCTGAAAGTGGACTGGCCTGGCCACCAGAAGAGCCATGTGGACTAGAGAGCCTAGAGCTCTGCTGGGAAGTGAGGGGTGGGGTGAGGGCATGACAGGGAAGACTTTAGGGATAAGGCTCCTGCCCCCTCTCCCCCCCTCCACTGGTCCTGTTCAAGTGGGGATCCCTGAGCAGGACTCTTTCAGTCATGAGAGCCCATGAGCTGCATCTGGATGATGCCAGGGCATTGCCCTGGCTGGAGGCAGGCCCTGCTGTGGCCACAGTTGGCTTGTGGTTGGGGAAGGAGGAGCCTGGGCCTGCCTCCTAATAGCCTTTCATTGTCTCTGAAATGCCCTTTGGTTGATAACAGGGAATTCACCCTCCTTTCAGTGAGTCCATAATGGGCTCCACCCAGCCATACAAAACTGAATTCCTTCCAATTGCCTTAATCCCATGGGGGGAGGGGCAGAAGGGCGGCAGAGATGGCCCGGTGTGGCCCCAGCTGCTCCCCAAGGTACCCACTGGGGCTTGGCTCTGGCTGCCCTGAGTTGTGCTCTGCTTTGAAAACTGGGATCCCCCTCCCCCCACAGCCACCTCTTCCCTGAGTCGCCTGTTCCTCTGCCGGTAATCTTACTGAAAGGAATGCAGTTTGTCTGGTGTCAGGGGGCGGGAGGTTGCTGGCTCAGTGTCCAGGTTGGCTCCCTGATGGAGGCCAAAGTCTGTCCTCCACCAGGGCTGATGAAGCCTGGCTCTGCTGGCTGGATAAAAGGGTTGGAGCAGTGTCGAGCCCTGCAATGTTTCGGCCTAGAAGTGTCCCCAGATATGACAGACACATTTTCTGGCCAGGTGGGTTCGCCTCCTTTACAAATGGGATCAGCTGAGTGTGTGTGTCTCTCAAGCCCTGCAGTTGTAGGGTGGAAAATAAAGGGCCTGTTATATCTTAGCTTGACTCAGGCTGTTGGCAGGTGGGCAGGTGGGTAGTTGTACCCTGACATTCTGTCCCCCCTCTGCTTGGGGAGGTCTCATGTTGATGGAATTGTGACACATGGGCAAGAGATTCTGTCAACTAAGGGGATCGAGGCCTCCAGGTATAGCGACTTGGGACTCTTAGTACTTACTACTTATGCTATGTGCCCTTAGACAAGTTACTTACTCTCTGGCCTCAGTTTCCTCATCTGCAAAATGAGAGACATTTAAGGTTCCTTCTAGCTCTTTGAGGTGAACAGGGCAAGAATTACCTTTGTTTTAAGGTGAGGGCAACTGAGGCCCAGAAGAGGGCAAGCCTGGCCACATCTAGCCTGTTACCCCTGGCCCCACACAGCAAGTCAGAGCAGAACTGAGATGAGAGCCCAGAGCCCCTGACTCTTTGCCCAGTGTTCTTTCTACCATCCCCATCCTGCCCCAGAGCCAAACCCTAATGAAACATGGAGCCACCTCTTTGTAAGAAGGAAGAATTGGGGAATTGGGGAAAGGACTTGACTTGTGAGGGCTTCTCATAGAATGTAGGAGTCCTTGGCGGGGGTGGGGCAGGGGTGGAGAGTCAAAGCATGAGCCAACCTAGTTTGGACTGAGCTGGGTGCCAGAGTGGGGCCCAGTCAGACCCGGGCATGCACACAGGAGAGGACACTTTTCTGGACACTGTGTATTCTCCTCTGGAAAACCAGCGGGCTCTGGCTTCTCTCCCTGGACAGGGCTGTATGGAAGGAGAAGGGCAAAGCCCTACTCCTCCTTGTCCCGGCCTCCTGTCAGAAGCATCCAAGGGGAGAAGAAACAGGCCACCTAAGTGGGCCACGCCTGGGTGGTCTTGCCTTTCTGCCCATGCTGCCTTGAGCCAGTAGTTTGAGCCCTCCAGGAGGATAGGACAAGGCTGTGGCATTCATTAAGCCCTCATAGGATGCTGAGCACCCAAGCAAAGGGCCCTCCCTGCCAACCTGAACTTGATAGGGGCCTGAATCCAAAGAGCTGAGCTCAGACCTCAAGTTAGACAACTGCCCGCTTCCCACCTGTTCTCACCAGGTTTTTATTAACCTGCTTGGAAAAGGTCTTAGGGCTCTAATAGCTCGTGCCTCCAAAAGAATTTTCCACCCTGGACAGGGTGTGTGTGTGTGTGTGTGTGTGTGTGTGTGTGTGTGTGTGTGTGTGTGTGTGTGTGTGTGTGTCTGTCTGTCTGTCTGTCCACTTGACCCACAAATGAGTTCACGAAACAGACTTGTAAATGATCACGGAGCCACCTACCTAACATGGTCACTTCAAGATAGGGCCAAGGAGCTAAATCGGGAGATAAGTTGGCAAAGACTCAACTGCTGTCATTGGCCCCTGGGGCAGGTGGACAAGCTTGGGGGTGGGGGGAGATTCATGTTCAAAGGGTGGCAAGATATTGCCAAGTGGGGACTGAGGGAGTGGCATTGACTTGGTTTTCCATTCTAATTTTTAATCAATTTACTAGAAGTGATTTTGAACATTAGTTCGATCATTAAAGCATGGGTTGTGACTGTTTTCATTTAACTAAATGAAATGCAGCCCAGATGATGTCCTAGTGGCTTTGGAGTCAAACCCTCTAAAGCGCCATTCCTTTGGATAGCTTGATTTTCTCAGAGACTCTGTTTGTTTTTCCTTCAGGACCTTGGGCTGGTCTGGGGGCACCCTCCCTCGCCACTCTGGTGTTCTTGTCCTCTTCCCTCCTAGTTTGAGGAGCAAATGGGAGAAAGAATTCACCCAACAGATATTGGGGTATCTGCTGTCTAGATGCTCCTGTATGGGTTTAAATGGAAGACCCAGAGTCCTGGCACCTTCTTCCCACCTCCTACCCACCTTCTCGGCCCACTGGGAGCTGGCACGTAAGAGCCATAGGCCACAGAAAATGAGAGAAGGCATTGGGCACACAAGCAGAAAATGTTTGTTCATTTTGTTTTTTTGTTTGTTTCGTTTCTCTGGCCCATTCAGCCCACTTGGGGGACAAGGTCAGGGAGGCTGGGTACCTCCTCTCTGCTCAGAAGGCAGGAGGGTACCTTCTAATTGTGCCACCAGGCCTTTGAAAGATGAATACATTCCCAGGAGAGAAACAGATGCAGAGATTGGTGGGGTGGAGAGAAAGGGTGGGCAGTCAGACCCAGCAACATCTGGTCTCCAGGGAAAACCTAATTTCAGCCTTGCTCACAGCTCAGAAATAATGTTCCAGTTGAAAGGGCAGCATTGGGGGTTCAAGTATATTTTATTGGGTATCACATTTACTGGTCTAGTAGATGTAACAGCTTGAGGGGTGTGGCCTCTTCTCCTGTGTGTTAAGGAAGTGAGATGCAGCAGCCTTAAGCCATCTTCTCTACCTCTTAGTGCTCTGCCACCAACCTCTCTTGTTGGCGGCTTTAGCCTTTCATGGCACAGGACGGTGCTATTGACAGAGCAGCAGCCCGTGTTCCCATAGGCCTTTAAGGTTCACAAAGTGTCTGATCTCATTGAGGCCTTGTGACCCTGTGAGGTTGGCAGAACCTTTCCCCAGTGAGGAAACTCAGACCTGAAGAGGGAAGTGTCTGGGCCAGGGCCTCACAGCTAGACCCAGAGCCCTGTTGCAGCCAGCTCTCTCCAATTTTGTGCCATGTGGTGTCCCAACAGAAACAATGGCCACAAGAGCCAGTTGTGTGAGTTTGGTCAGGCAAGAACTTGGGTCTGGCCCAGGGTGGTGGTGGTAGTCGTGGTGGTGGTGACTCTCTCTTGTCCTGCCAGATAAAGAGACTCAGCGGGAGAAGGAGAAGCTGGAGATAGAGTTGACAGCTGTGCGCTCCACTAATGAGGACCAACGGCGCCATATTGAAATCCGGGATCAGGCCCTGAACAATGCCCAGGCCAAGGTGGTGAAGCTGGAAGATGAGGTATGGTCTGGTCTGGGGGGCAGGAAGAGACAGGGAACTCTATCTCCCATGTCCATGGCTCTTAGGGCCTGGCCACCTCCCAAGAGGATGGTACCATTGGGTGTGAGGCTTCTAAGGTACATCAGGGTACATATGGACCTTGCCCTTTGGCTGAGGATGCAAGGTGTCCATGCACAGAACATGTTGAAAAGACCCTACAGTGCCGTCTGGCCCTATGCCAGCCCTGGCTTAGATAGATCGATAAAGCATCTATTGAGCTCTTATTTTGTGCTAAGTGCTGGGGACCCAAATACCCCAAAGCAAGACAGTCCCTGGCCTCAGGGACCTTCCATTCTAGTGGGGGAATGCGACCTAGAAAGGAAAGCTGGTAAGGAGTTAGGCTTCACACATGGCAGCATGGTGTGGCCCGGAGCAGGAAGTGAGGTGGAGATAAGGCAAAAGGCTACCTATCAGAGCCAGGGGGCACAGGGGCAGAGTCCAGGTTGCCTGTGGGGAGGAGGTAGAGATGATGGACTGAGTAGAGGAGGCATGGCATTGAGGCTGGAAGTGTTGTAGAGGCCTGGACCCTGGTGAGCTAAGGCAAAAGTCAGAATAGTTCTTGTCTGCCCATCCCTCTGGTGGCTTGGCTTGACCCTGAGGGTTAGGGCGAGGATGGGGAAAGTAGAGAATTCCTGGGGCCAGATGGCACCCAAAGGTTGATCCCTGCCAGTGGACTTAGCATCTGGGCCACGTGGCTGGAATGTTGTGGTGTGGAGGGAAGATGGTGCTTTCCCTTTTGAATTGGGGAGGGAGTCGGGGTCTAGTGCTGGTAGCTGCTCCGGCAACCCTAAGTCCCTTGCTGATGAAATACTCTGGACAAATGGGGTTAGAGGTGGGGGTGATTGGTGGTAGGGGTTCAAGGGACTTGAGAGGGGAAGTTGGTAGGAGGGAAGGATGGCCAGTGTTGCTTTGTAGAGAGAAGTGTGGATAGCTGATGTATCTCCAGGTTGTATGTGTCTGGAATTCCTATCTGACCCAGGATCCTGGCCAGGCATCTGTGCATATGATACCTGGGATCTGAATCCCCCTGCCACAGGGTAGACTGTGGAAGATAAAACAGGGGCTCCCTCAGCACACTGATGGGTCTTTTGTGTCTTTGCTCTGACTTGGCTTCCGGAACTGTTCTCTTCATCAGTCTCTTTTTCCCCTCCCCTTTTCCTACCCCAAAGGGAAAGGGAAGAGGGTTCAGCCTCAGACATGGGGAGAGTCCCAAAGAGGACTGTGCTCGTGGCCAAAGAACCATGGGCTAGAGTGAGGTGAGCATCTGTGTGCCTGCAGGTTTGGCTTCGGGCAATCATTTCTGTGTTCCTGGCTTCAGCCTGTCCAGGGCTGTAGCATGCTTACAGTTTCTGACAGCCTTCCCAGGAGGTGGCCAAGTTCTCAGAGTAATCACTTATGTGAGGGAGCCTCAAGATGTCAAGGCAACAGGCTTCCACTGTCTGAGCCAGGAGGGACTTTTGAGAGCTCCACAAAATGAGGACAAGATGGAGGCCCAGAGAGGGGAGGGAGGGGACCTTTCCAAGGTCCTACAATGAGGCTTCGACCTGAAGTCTCCTGGCATTGTTCCCAGGCCATCTTCCGCTCGTACTGGCTGAATGATGCTAGCCAGTGACTACCGGCTGCATGAATTGGCTTAGGATGGCTTTCCTCAGCTGGACCTCTGGTCTCTGTAATTGTCCAGAGGTTCCAAGTTTCTGTTGTAAAAGGGGGTGGAGTTGACAAGGCTAGCTTTTGGCTGGGAGAGTCTGCCCAGGGCCTGAGGGGGTTATGGTGTGTGTGTGCGTGTGTTTTACATCCTGTCTTTGCTTTACTTCCTACTCAGCAAAATCTCAGAGGCCCCATAATTTCTTCCAGATTCTCAGACCTGATGACCGCTAGCATATGTACATCCTTGAAACCACAGCTTAGTGAAATTCAACTGGCTTCCCTCTCCCGGCGCCACTACTCTCCCCCCCCTACCCCACCCCCCCAGCAGCAGATGAGACCTGGGCCTACTCTTGGCTGGTGGCTGCCTGGTCTCCTTAGCCCCTGCCTCACGTGCCCTGGTGCCTCAGTGCCTGGGTGCTGGTGTAGACTCACCCTAATTCCTTTAGCCTGAATGGATCCAGCAGATTGACAGCCCTAGCTTTCTTTGGGCGCTGGGTGCTAGTGTAGACTCACCCTAATTCCTTTAGCCTGAGTGGATCCAGCAGATTGACAGCCCTGGCTTTCTTGGAGTGCTGGGTGCTGGCCTGCCATGGTGCTACTCTGGCTTTTCCCTGTTTGGGCAGAGGACCTTTGTAGGGTGAGCGCTAGAGGTGAAGAGTGGGCAGAGAGACTCTCCCCAACCTCACAAGTCCTCCTCAGTCTGACCATGATCCAGCCTGGGGCTTTAGGAATAATGGGAAAAACATAAAGGGGAGTAGGAGAAACCAAGTTTGCAAGACTGGCAGATTGTAGAGAGTTTTGAATGAATCCCAGGCCAAGGACTTTGCATTTTACCTTCTAGGCAAGAGGGAGCCACTGAAGGCTGTAGATCTGGGATGTAACTATAGATCAGATGAGAGTGGGGTGTGGGAAGAGTGGTGAGACCTTTTGGGGAGGCTCTCACACACACTGAGTGTAAGGTGGAAGATGAATCAGTGAAGGGACATCTAGATACAGCAGAGAGTTGGGAGAGAGCCCAGTGGGGAGAGGATCCAGCAGCAGGAGGAGGAGGACTGAGCTAAGACCATAGGGCTTAGCCATGAAGATGCCATTGGCAGTGCCAACTGGAGGGAGCAGTGCCATGGGAATGGGGACCTCAGAGGCCAGTCTTCTGGCTAGGGAAGAAAGAGGCAGCAGATGGACACTTCCCTTTTGAGGAGCTAGCTGAACAGTGAAGGGGAGGAGAGCCTGAGCAGAGAGCAAGGTCAGCAAAGGGCACATTACCATGTGTCCAGGATAGTGAGCCCTCTCATGAGAGGCAGGACCCAGTAGAGAAGGGATTGCAGATGAGGAAAGGGGGGACTGGTGGGTGGGACAGGCTCCCTGAAGGGATGGGCTGGAGGGCCCAAGGGGATGGGTTAGCTCTGCCAAGAGCAGAGACAGAGGAGAGGAGAGGGACAGAGTCGGGGCGAGGGGAGCAAGCTCATGACCCATGGGCGACTTCAGTTTTCTCAGTCCAGATCAAGTGAACACACACAGAATTCCCTGCAAACCTGGACGTACCATAGCGATGCTAGCTGTTAACTACCACTATTAGACTTTCTTCAACTCCAAGTCTTATAAGTTTGGCCTGCCTGAACCTAAAGCAACACAGGGAAATATTTGCAAGGAAACTGTGTTGGGTTCAATACAGTCAACATTTCCCAAGGCTGGCTCCAGAGACTAGAAGACAGATGTGAGGCCATCCCTGTCCCAAGAGAGCTTCCGTTCAACTTGGTTCTTTTTGTTGGGACGGGCTGGGTGTTCGCCCCCCCTCCTCCTCCAGTGCCTCTTCATGACCCTCTACTCAGTTGCATGTGTATGTGGGGAGGGGGGAGTGATCAGCACTGGTGGAAGGCAGTACCCTTCCCCATGAAATACCAGGCTTCTGCAGGATTGAGTTAAGGGCTAGAGAAGGCTGCAGCTTGCTTGGGTAGGAGTGCGGGACCTCGGGGTCCAGCCCAGTGATGCCAACTTTAGATTCAGACTTCCTTGCCTCTTTTGGGGGGGTAAATCATCAGGCATGGAGGAGGCTTTCTCACTTAAAAGGCCAGGTTCAGGCTGCCTTCTCTAAAGCCCCTTCCTTCTTCCTCATCCCACCAGGCTCCTCACTCTCTGTGTTCCAGGCAGAAGACTGGCATGGAGCCCTAGAAGGGGTTGGTGCTAGGGGCTGACACAGCCCTTCCACAATAGTTCTGTTGCCTCTCCCTGAGTCCAGTCCAGAGACTGTTGCCAGCCCTCCTCTGTGGATGCTTGCCCAGGGAGGAGGTGGCATAGTACTGTGGCTAAGATACATGGGGATTTTATCTGGGAGTCCTTGTCAGCCAGGCCTTGCCACTAGTGAGCAGCTTGTACCACGGGTAGCTGGCGACTTCCAAGACTCAGCTTTGTCTTTTGGGTCATGGCGATATAAATGAGGAGGGCTACGGGCTTCAGGGAACTTTGTCTTCTGCAGTGGCCATGGCGCTCTCCTCTCCAAATAGCCCCCCAGGACCGGCCCTCGAATCCTCTCCCAGCCCCCAGCCGACCTCGCAGCAGAGATTCAACAGATGCCTGGCAGCTTTGCCCACAAGGCTCAGGCTGCCCAGGCTTCTGGCCGGCGGTTGCTGTCAAGAGGATCCAGGGCCTGGCCGATGCTTGGGTAATTGTCGCCGGGATGGTGGGAAAAAAGGCCTTGGCAAGATCGAAGAGGGAGATCCTGTGGGTGGGTCTTTTGACTGTGTGTGGAGTTCAACAGGAAAGGACAGAGCTGACTGTGGGAGGGCTGGCAGAGAGTGCCAGCTATTCCCATTAGCCAGATTCAAGCTGGCATGATAGCCAGGGAGAATATGGGCAGAGGGAGCTCCTTTAACTTTTTCTGAGCTGGTGCCTTTTGGGCTGTTGGGGGCTGGGGAGGGGAATTGAGTTGAGTTGACTTGAATTCAAGCTTGAGTCTTCAGGGATCTGGGGGTTCCCTTCCTCGCTGGCCGGACCAAAAGGGGCTCTCCCTACCTGCTACTCCACCCCCTGGCTGCTACTTACTCTACTCTGTTTCCATGTCGCTTCTTTTGAGTCTAGTTTGGAGGATGCGTGATTTCCATGAGGGTGGGTGACTCCTGCCATGGTCAACTGCTTCCTTTCCCCAAAGGGGCCTTTGCTAAGATGGGAAGAGGCCCAGCTTTTTAAGCCTTGGCTGTCATAGCCAATAGCTCTATAATCTTGGGTAAATCCTCGCCCCTGCTTTTTTCTTGAAAATGGAGGGCTTGAATTGGTTGAGGTCTCCTACCAGCTCAGATATTATGTCATCCCGAGTCCAT